TGATGGACTCAAGCATGGCAACAGTACTGAGGTTGGCCCAGGATCAGGCAATGTTTCATTCTGCTGTGCATAAGGTTGCTATGAGTCAGCACCGGCTCAATGGCACCTAACAACAACAACAACTATCTACTTTTGAGAAAAGTGACTACTGAAAACCTTCTGAAGCACAGTTCTGTTCAGGCTTACATGGAGTTGCCACAGTTTTACTGGTATATGCTAGTAATCTGTTATTTTCTCTCCATTGCAATTTTCATTCCAATAACCATGTGGTAAGACTAGCAAAAGGGCAGCAGGACTTTCAGTCTATTTGTCTATATTCTCAGGAAATCTGGAAGTAAATGCAAATAAAGACAATAATATTGTGGCACTGCAGGTTAATGTGCTAGACTGCAAGGTCGGTTTGAACCTCAAAGTCGGCGGTTCAAGTTCACAAGCCGCTCCTCAGAAACCTTATCCAGAGTCTCTGTGAGTTGGAACTGATTCGAAGGCACTTAACAACAACTTACAGAGGCACACCTGGGGACCCTGATACCCTGTTTAGACCACCCATTCAACTGTCAATGTACTTTGAGATGAATTACCTCCTTCTCTCGAGTGAAATTCTCAAAGACAGTGCTGTAGGATTCAGTTATCTTCTTCTTTTCCTCTTCGGACTCTAACTCAAATTTTTTAGTTATCCTATGCTCTGTAGGGGAAAGAAGAAAGCACATATGTGCACATGTGGGAAAAGCAGGTGCAAAGTGAAATGCAGAATATATGAAAAGAAATTCCAGACAACGTCATATTCAAGGCCCTTTCAGCCCAGTGTTTGGCTTCTGAGACTCACCTGGAAATGATTGAGAGTATCATCACAGTGGTTGTTCTTAATCATGTTGTTGTTAAGTACCGTCGAGTCAGTTCCGACTCATAGTGACCTTGTATAGGGTTTCCGAGGAGTGGCTGGTGAGCTTGAACTGTTGACCTTGTTGTTCAAGGTCATTAACCCAGAGCACCACACCAGGACTCATTAATCATATTGGTAGTAGTGGTGTGCCATGGAGTTAGTTCTGACTCATAGCAACCATGCATAGGGTTTCTGAGGCTGTAAATCTTTACAGAAGCAGAAAGCCTCATCTTTCTCCCATGGAGCGACAGGTAGTTTTGAACTGTTAACCTTGAGGTCAGCAGCCCAACCTGTAACCGCTATGCTACCAAAGTTCGTTCTTAATTAGCCATATGTATTGGGCTCAAACATCTTTAGGTTTTTTTTGTGTAGTCTACTTTAGATCTAATGCTTGTTATTTTGACCATTTCTTCTGCTGAAGTAATCAGTATGTTGTTGTTGCTGTTGTTGTTAGGTGCCATTGAGACAGTACAGACCCATAGCAATCTTATGCACAGCGGAACCAAACATACCCAATCCTGGGCCAATCTCACTACTGTTGCCACACTTGAGTCCATCGATGCTGCCACTTGGCAAATCCATCTCGTTGGGGGTCTTATTTTCTCTGACCCTCCACCTTACCAAACATGATATTCTTCTCCAGTGACTGCTCCCTCCTGACAATGTGTCCAAAGTATGAGAGTTGAAGTTTGGCCATCTTGGCCTCCAGGGAGCACTCTGGCTGCACTTC